TATAATCAGAAATGGTAGGTTAAAAGTTAAGCTTTTCAAAAAGTACCACAACAAATATACAGATACTGGCAAGTACATAGGTGCTGACAGCTTGCAGAAAAAGATGTACATTAAAGGAGGAAAAAACTATAACGGGAGGTCATCAGGGCCAGCTATCCACTAAGGCCCCCCACCAAGGGAGGACTAGAAATAATGGGCACAAGCTGACTGAAGATCGCTTCAGACTAGACATAAGAAAAAACTTCCATGCAAGTCAAGTACTGAGGGTTTGGAATAGGCTTCCCTCAGAGGTGGGACAGTCACCCACCCTGGCAATCTTCAAAAAGCATCTTGATGCCCATCTTGCTAGGGTCATCTGACCAAAGCAGTCTTTCCTGCCCAAGTGCTGAGAGGCTGGACCCGATGATCTATGAGGTCCCTTCCAGCCACTAAAAACTATGAAACTATGAAAACATCCAGACATGTTAACAGTATGATACTCATGATCCTTCAATGTGGGGGTGATCACCTCTTGAAAGGGAGTACATCATATATAAAAAGAAAGGGAGACCAGATTCATATGTCTCCCAATTACAAGACAAGAAGTTCATTTGCAGCTCTCTGGTTTACTACAAAGAATGCCATGCCAATGTGCCTCAGTCCTGAGCTAGGAGTCCTGGAGGTTGAGTAAACAAGTACATCTCCAACCTCCCTCAGTCTTTGGAGTCCCTGCTAAACCACCCTTAAGTGACTGTGAGGGCCAGTTATTGCTTCAGTGATATGTCCCAATAGGAAATGGTCTGAGACCAACAATTAATTTCATAACTGTCTACTGGTTAGCTGCATAACCAGTAGACAGCTAGTTATGTAATTCTTGACCAGGGTTTCCCCATCGCTCCCAAGCCACACACTTATACAGCTATGCCCTCTGCTGGCAGGGACTGGACAGGAAGGTGAAGGAAAAGCAGATGGAGAGGCTGCATTCACATTCAAGTTTTGCTCAAGTAATTATTTGCTTCAAATACAGGGAAAAGAGTTACAAGAACACTGTTCACTATGAACTAGAACTGACATTTAAGCCCAGGGATACCAGCCTGGCTCTTAAGCTACCCAATTCTGAGAGGACATTTCCGTTCTACTTTATTTTAATTTAATGTAAAAATTATGTTCTTCCTCCTTCATTGGACAGGAAAGGGTTTTTTTTTTTTTTGATTCCCCAACCATAGTCTATATTTTCTTTTTTTCCCTTTCCTGCAAAATCCTGGTGTCAAACAGAGCTTCCTCCAGTGATGAAGCATTGTATATAAACCCACCTAGACTCCATCAGCTCTATTCCCCATACATATTAGAGGAAGCAGCCTTTAGAGACCATGAGCTGTTCACTGTTATATACAGACATAAAACTCTTCCAAGAAGGTGATTTTCTGTCTAAGGAGTTAAATCAGTATAGGTCAGTATAACAGTGCTCTATACTATTATAACTTATTCCCCCTTCTTTATGCGGGAATAGCTCATTCTATGTTAGAGGGTAAATCGGTGACTCTACTGATATAATAAAAGTGGCCCAATTTAAGTGTAGAGAGGAATCCTGAATACAAGACCTGAACTCTAATCACAAATAAGCACAGCCAGTTCTTCCCTTTTTTAACAGCTAGGAGATGATCTGAAGAAAGTACAATGTTCCAAAAATAATGCTACTTAGGCAAAATGTAGTCAATTAAAGAGTCTCTCATCCTTCATCTATGGCATCCTCTTGCCAGTAAACTCAAAAGGCATGTGGCTATATGGAGTGAGGTCTTGAAGTTTGTATATACATCAAGGGAAATATCACCATATCTTCCATTTGCTGCAAAAAGCAGAGGTTGAAGGTGAAGTGTCAGCATGAGGGGTAGGAAGTAGAAGCCAAGAAAGAAGAGGTGAGTAAATGCCTGGGGGGTCTGCCATGAAAAGAACAGAAAGCATTTTATAAACCTGTTCACTACAAGTCACACATTCATAACCATTTCCAAATGGAAGGCTGTGTGAAAAGCCAAAGCAAACATTCCCAATTCTTTTTGAATCTATCAGACAACATAGGAAAAATATGTGCATTTTATGGTTTGGGAGCATAACCTTTTAACTATGTTTTTGCATTGTCATGTCCAAGCCCTTTTTTCTCTTCAAAAATTAATATTTCCTCAAGCAACTCAGCTATTTATTTTGGACGAACATGAATTGCTGCCCAATCTTCTTCTGCAGAACAAGGCACAGAAGAGTTATAACATGACACCTAGGGGATTTCAGAGTGCACTGCAGAGCAACTATAATAATTTTTCTGGTGCCTTTTCAACTGATTTGTGTGGCTGGTTTAGCAATCTAGTGCTAATTTTTTTATGCTCATAGTCGGCCCTAAGAAAAGCAGAAGTTATGGCAGGAGGGGGCAGTTGAAATGAACATAACCTAGTTTCTGCTTGTTTATTAGAACTGTGTTATGCACAATACTGTCATGCTGTGAGCATGGTAAGATTTTAGGCACAAAACAATCTCCCACTTTCCTTCTGTGAACCACAGTCTCACAGGCATCAAGTTAAGGAAGATGTCAATCAACTGCCTTCCCCCAAGGAGCTACATCAGCAACAGGATCCTGCATTGACAGGCTACAAATGATGGTTAAAGTGGATTTTTACAGAGCCAGTACAAGCAAATTCAGACCCAAGCCTGGCAAAGGCTTTAGATTAATGTTGTCTTGTAGTTTTCAGTAAACCCACCACTTAGGGAATTAAGATACCTCCATTTCTTTCAAATCTCACAGCCTGTCTCAGCAAACCCTCCATTTTCTGTACCGCCAGAAAGAGATGGTTAGCCAGGGATGCCTTGAGCAGGGGTCTGGACTAGATGACCTTATTACATCCCTTTCAGCCCTACTTTCCTATGAACCCATGCAAGATCCTTAATCTGACTTAAAAACAAGCAAAAAGGAGGCTTAGTACCTAGGATTAAAAGGTAAGGGTGAGTGTTAAAATACCAATGGGGAAATGGGATTGGTAGGAATTTGGTAAGCAACTGCCTCTCATTTAATAATGCAATAAAAACACTTCTATAAATAAAGCATTTTTCAACAGGAACGATCAAAAAAGTTTCTTTGCAGGCTATTCACGTAAAGCAGCCTATATCTGGGTTAGTGTTAATAATCAGCCACGTCATAAAATACTGCATGGTAGTGAGGAGAGAATGGAAATCATGGCTTAAACATTAAGGTAAAACCCCTGCAACCGCACAGAACAGCATGAGATCCCTCAGACAAGAAAACCAAGGTAAACTTGTATCTTGGTTTAAGGTCCAATCTGAAAGTTTCGTGCAAGGAAGCCTACAAAACTCAATCTAATTTAGGAGTGTCAGAGATATAATCCATGGCCAAATCCAGCCTGCTGAGACCTCTTATTCAGCTCCCAGTGCTGCTCCTACATCTCATAGTTGACCCATGTGACACATTGGACCAGCCCCACACACAGATTCCAGGATGTATGCCACACATGGTGTAGGATGCATGCTGCATACATTGCACTTTCCAGATGGTTCAGGATGCATGTGTTGTGCATCCTGGCTGGTCTGAGATCCATGGGTGGTCCATGGGCCCAATCCAGCCCATGGACTGGCCCTGTGCCAGTCATCCAGTCTGTAGGACCAGATGAGTTTGACATGGCTGATCTAACTGGTAGGGAGGAAAGCTTGAGTGCCCCTTGCTGGATCCAGACCTGGGACACTTGCTTCACTTCATTTTGTCTGGGCTAAATTATAAACCAAGTTAATCTCATCTACTCCCCTCAATTTGCAACACAACTGCTCAGTCCTTAGGCTCAGATGCTGAAGTGAAGGTGGGCTAAGACTCCTCCAATTGTAATACTTGTCCAGCGAGCCTTTAAGACTCTTTGTTTGCAGGAAGTACTGCTCACAATAAGACTGGTTTTGCTGGGGAAAAAAGTAGAGGAAAAAGAAATGAGAATCTAGGCACAAGAGAATCTCAGAGATACGGTTTCAAAAACATATAGCACAAAACCTCCCTTTACCACAGGAGCTAGGCACCCATTTCATGGGGGCAGAGGTGTTCAAACTTGTTAATCTCTCTTCCAAACTTAATTGAAATGGAAGTCCTGGATTCTGCTTGCAGGTCACCAACATTTCTGGGACTTGTGCAACAAGAAGCTGATGCTCTGCTGTCTCTGAGCTCACATGTCAATTCCAAATTTGCATTTTACAAATTGCAAAAAAACCTCAAGCAAACCAACAATAAAGCAAACAACTAAGCCAAGAAGTCTTCTGATTGTGGTCCCATGTCTGTGAGGCACTAGTCTGTGGTTCAGCAGAAGCATTTAGGGGAGCCTGAAAGTTAACCAAATATCTGAGAACTTAAAAGCATTTACCATGATAACTGTGAGGGAGACTGTTAGTCTTGACACACCGCTTACAAAAGAGGCAGCTCCAATTGCAGCAAAGAGTCCTGGGTCAATCCATGCCCCATATCCATTAGTCTGAACACCAGAAATGGATACAAGGATCAGGCCAACTATCCTGCCGTATAAAGCTCCTGTGTACCTGCATACAAGACAAAGAAAATGGGGGTGTAAATTTTGTCAGCTACATTGTTTTCCAGAGTTTTTTTCTTTCCATTTTCTTATCTAGTATTTCATTCTGCTAGCTCTACTTTCATGAGAAAGTTCTGTCACCTTTGATATGAGAACTTGCTTAATGCCAACCATTATAGCTTCAAGGTACAAGACTGACTTATGGTGATTATCAAGTCTACCCCACTTAGGATGAAAGAGCTAAAATAATCAGAAAGAAGAGGAGTGCTACAACACAATATTTAATATGGGCTGAGCAAAAGTGGGGTTTAGAGGCACACAGTAAAGTGATAATAGCCATCAGACCATTTCAAACAATAACATTATATATTTCTACTGTTCCAGCCTCAAATGTTTTTTAAATTGTAATCCTACCTCACAAGCATACTCCTGTAAAATAGACAAGTATGATATTATATCCATTTTATACCTTAATAAACTAAAGTGAAGAACAGTCAAATTACTTGTCCATGGTCACAGAGTGAATCAATGGTGAAGCCAAAAATGGAACACAAAGTCTTCAGTCCCAGTCCAATAGACTACACCCACAGCATTAGAACAAGTTCTTAGTACAGACAGCCTTCTGAAAATGGGGAAATGGTAGTCACAGCAGTACACAATGCTTGTATAAGGAATTTGATTTAAAAAGATATTGGTTCAAGTTTTAAATAGGGGTCTTGGATTTGTACAATCATTTCTCTCTGTCAGCAGCAGTATTGTATTTTATGAACAGGGATGCAGGTTTTCCATTCACCATGGAAAAACCACAGTAAAAAGTTACTTTCTCTTTTTAAGGAGATAAACAGATTTTCTCTTTTCAAAGAGAAAAACATGGGAAATGGCAAGTTTCCCCTTGTAGGCTGGCCAGGGTGGAGGCAGAGTGGGCTGGTGGCTGTGGGCTTAGGGATACCCACCCTGCTGCTGTCCCCAGCCCAGTGGGTGAGACTTGGCACAGCAAGGCAGAGTGGTGTGGGGTAGGGAGGCTCAGTGCTGCTGCCAGGAGTCCCACGCTGCCATAGCAAGGCAATCTCTGCCCACCTGGCAGCAGCAGGTGTGGTGATGCAGAGTTGTGCCTCCCACTACTTCTGGGTGGGCAAAAGGCACCTCACCATGGTGGCATGAAGGTCCCGGTGGCAGCATGTCTCCTTGCTCTGCTCTGCCACACACTGTGTCCCACTCACTGGGCCACAGAAGTCCCAGGGAGAGGGCAGCAGGGTGGAGAGCCCAAAGCCCATAGCCATCACCCCGCATCCACCCCTATGGGCTCCACTCCAGCTGCACTGCCCATGTGGGGGCTGGGCTCCATGCTCCACTCAGGCTGCAGCAGCTGCTGTCTTCCATGGGTGGCAGCCGGGGCTTGGGCGCTACAGGCTCCTGTCCCTGGCCCCTTAGCCCTGACATCTGAGAGCCCCCTACAGCAGGACTGGTGGGGCAGGAGGCTGCAAGTCATGAATGAGAGGTACTGGCAGGGCTAGGGGGGCTGTGGGTGGGGAATGAGGAGCACTGATAGCGATTGGTTACTGTGATTGAGGCATTGGTAGGCTTTCACATTGCTTTAAAATTAAAAATATACCAATAAAACATGGTGTTCAACTGATACCTATATATACACACACCTCTATATATAGCAGTTTTTCATTTTAACCAAGGAAAATGCAGATTTGGAGTTTTTTAAAATCAGAGAATTTGTGATTTTTAAACAGAAAACTAAAATCTCTGCTTATGAAGCTGGAAATATTTGGAGAGCATCATTATATCTCTGCATTACCAAATTATTTTTCATTGACCAATTTTTTCATAGACTTAAGCAATTATTTCATTTTATTGATATATGTTGTCCATTTATATTAGGTTATAACAATCTGATTACCAGTTCACAAGCACAAGTATTGGCTGTTAGAAATATAAATTGCCCAATACTTCATCTAATGTGGTCCCCATCTTCAAGAAGGGGAAGAGGGAGGACCCGGGCAACTATAGGCCCGTCAGTCTTACCTCAATCCTGGGGAAACTCTTTGAGAAGATCATCAAGGAGCACATTTGTGATGGGCCGGCATCAGAAATGATGCTCAGGGGCAATCAGCATGGATTTATTAGGGGGAGATCATGTCAGACCAACCTGATTGC